TAGAAGGAGAATTGATGCCTTTGAGCTGTGGTGCTGGACAAGAGTATTGTGAGTACCATGGATTGCTAGGAAAACAAACAGACTCATCCTGGAAAGGGTTAAACCGGGTGGCTCCTTGGAGGCAAGAATTGTGAGGCTCCGTCTAACATACTTTGGACATGTTGTGAGGAGAGACCGGTCCTTAGAAAAGGACATCATGTTTGGGAGGGTGGAGGGACAGCGCAGGAGGTGAAGGCCCTCTATGAGGTGGATTGATTCAGTGACTGAGATAATCGGGATGGGAGTGTCAGAGACATTGGGATTGGCACAGGACAGAGCCGAGTTTTGGGCTGTGGTACATAGGGTCGCTATGAGTTGCAAGCGACTCGATGGCACATATCAACAACAGTCTCCTGTACTTAGAAGACTAGTGAAGTACTTGTATTTTCCTCATTCTAATATGCTGTTTACCTTGGGCTTGGGGCAGGAGGAGCGGGGGGTATAAAAAACCCCAAAGGTTTCAAATTAAGAATCTAAAACACAATTTTAAAGATTTATAGGAAAACACCCAAAATACTCCTTAGAAAATAACACTGATACAGTCTCAGAAACATATAATCTTAAAAAGCTGATTGCTGTATACATCAAGAAAAATGTCTCTGTTTACTTTTAAAATTGTTTAGATAATTACCATACAACGTTCTTTTTTTCTTTACTAAAAGTGTTTTATTTTTATTTCTTAGAAATCTTTTTATGTTAAAGTTAATTTTAAGAAATGTTTTCTAGATTTAGGACATAAAACCATTTTGAGAATCAGTATAAAATATTTGAAAAGGTCGGAATTTTAAAGTGTTTATGTATTGGAAGTGGAAATGACAGATATTTAATGTATGTTCTCTAAAAATTTTAATGTGTATAAAGAAGAAAGTGTAAACTGGAAAAAAATGCAATTTCAGCTTTTTCCTATTTCTTCTGTTTCTAGAGAATACTGAGTATCTCCAAAACATGATGGCTAGATAAGTTTGTGGTGCTTGGCAGTTCCCTTTGACGCTCTTTGGGGTAATGCCAAAGAGAAGGCAGGGTCTCATGGGAATTTGGTCTGAATTCTCATCCAAATGAACACCTGCTGTCATTGTTCCTTATCAATCCTGTAGTCAGAAATGCCAGCTCTCTTTTTGTCGTCCAGACCATTTAACCAAGGGAAAGTCATTCAAGTACTTCTCACTAATTTTTCTTTCCTGCATCACCCACTTCCCAACTGTCTTTGAGATGGAAGGAATAGGAAGTTCATCTTTGGCTATTTGCTATTCTCCATTTTTTGAAGCGTATTCGAAGTCCAATATACTCCAATGGCCTTTTTGTCTTTCTCTTTCTCTTCTTCCTTCCTATGCCCTTTTTCTATGTACTTTTAAGGCTATTTTAAAATGAAGTCATTTTTAATTGCAAAAATGAGCATTTTCAAAGTTATACTGCATAATTATATTTTTTAAATTAAAAATATTTTTCCCTAAATTAGCTGAAACAAATAGTTGAAGAAAAAAGTAAACTCAAGGGAATCCTCCCTTTGAGCAGTACTGATCACTCATTTTTCAGAACTTGATTGATATTCTTAAGTTTTTGTTTTATTGATATCCTTGGTCATAAGCTATTTCAACTTAAATTTGAATGAGTTTAGAAATAAAACTGAAATATTTTCTTAGTTAACTATTGAGTATAACACACAATATGCCAGAAATAAAATTAATCAGATTATCTTCTGTAATCTCATATCACAGTAAGAAAGCATCATATCCCAAAATAAAATTTATTTATGACTTATTAGCAAGAATAAGAGAAAAAAAATTGAGTTTAAATGCTTCTAAAGACATAGAGTCAGACAGTTTTATTTTCATACTTCATTTCTTTTCTTCAGAAAACTTTTCCTGCAATAATTACTGTAAAGCCTTCTTTAGTAAATTTTATACAGGAAAATATTCAGTTAGCTCCATCCAGCAGAGAAAAACAACTCTCTGTCTGCCATCTGCAGTGGGCAATGGTCCCTCACTTGTTGTTCCATGCTTTGTTATGCATGAGTAAGCACATTAGTCTTTTCATTTCATTCATTGGACTTTTAGTCCTTGATTAGTGTTTTCAAGAATCTCTCAAATACACAACTTCTTTATTTCTTTTGTTTTAGCTTTTCTTTCCCCCTTTATCTCCATTTTGAAGCAAAATTAACAGTTAATAGCAACAGTAGTCCCTTTTCCATTGAAATGATTGGTAAATATATTAGTTTCCCATTGGAGTGATAAATCATTTATGGATGAATGAGAAAATAGACCCTCCTTTGAAATAAGAAAGGCATCTATTTAAGTCAGCTAAAGTACTGTGTTTGAAAAGCTTGAATAATAAATTCCCACCACTCTCACACATTTTTTTTTATTTCCCAGTGCCCTGGAAACCGAATAAATTTCTAAAAAGGAAGAATCTTCCATTAATGTTTAAAACAAGTGTAGTTGGAGTCTGAGTCGACTTAAATTTGTCATCAATTCTTCCATTAAATGAGAAAATATATTTAAGAAAGCTGATTTTTATTAATAGCTATTAATTATACATCCAAGACACATGTAACAAGCTCTAAAATGATGTGTTACACTCATTTCATTTTATATGCACCTATACTCTCCGAATTCCAGGGAAATATGAACTTCTCTATCTTATCATTTTTCCAAGTGAAGTGATTCTTCAAAATCCCATTTAACAACATTTTCAACTGTATTTTGACATTTACATTCATATCTATCCTTGTGTACCATCAAATTGTCTATGATTCATAGTGACCCTATGTGCAGTAGTTCTGAACCTTGTCCTATCCTAAGTCAGTCTCAAAGTCTCCAACACACCTACTCTTATTATCCCAATTACTGTACCAGTGTGACTCATCCAGAGTCTTCCTCCCCTGCTGTGTCCCTCCACCTTTTCAAGCATGATGATCTTCTTTAAGGATTGGTCCCTCCTAGACACATGCCCAGTGTATGTGAGATGGAGCTTCACAATCTTTGCCTCCAAAGAGCAGCTTGAATTCACTGTCTTCAGGATAGACCTGTGTGTTCTTTAAGTAGTTCATGGTATGTTCAATACTCTCCAGCACAGCAACTCAATGGCATAAATTCTTCTATTATCCTTAGTCACTATCCAGTTCTTAGATGCATAGCAAGTACTTGCAAAGGCCATATCCTCTATCAGGTGCATCTTAATCTCTAGACTGACTTCGTTACTCTTTAGTGCTCTAGAGGGATCCCTGACAGCACATTTACATAATCTAATTAATCTTTTGCTCTCCTGACTGCTGGTGCCCAAGAGTATTGATTGTGGAGTCAAGCAAGCTGAGATTATTAACAACTTCAATCTCTTCTCCATCTATCATGGTGCTGTCAACTGGCTGAGTGGTGAAAATTTTTGTCTTCTTGATGTTGAGCTTCAACCATAATGAAACTACAGTCCTTGACTTTCTCTAGCAAATGCTTCAGATACTCCTTGGTTTTGACCAAGAAGATCGTATCATCTGTGTAACGTAGGTTTTTGGTGAGTCTTCCTCCAATCCTGATGCCACATTCCTCCTCATAATCTCAAGCTCCCAAATGATCTGTTCTGCACATAAATTGAAAAATGTATGGAGACAGGACACATCACTTAGGCACTCCTTTCCTGATTTTGAACCAAGTAGCATTTCTTGGCTCTGTTCTGAGTACTGTTTCATGATCCAAGTATAAATTACACATCAGCACAATCAATCTTGGATTCCTATTCTTCTCAAGGTTAGTCAGAATTTGTTGTGATTTATACAATCAAGTGCATTTGTGTAGGTAATGAAACACAGATACACATTCTTCTGATGCTCTGCCTTCAGCCAAGATCCATCTGACATTGGCAATGGTAACCCTAGTGCCATGGCCTCTTCTCAGCCCATCTTGTATTCCTGGTAGTTCTCTGTTGATGTACGATTCCAGTCTTTTGGTTAATTTTCAGCAAGGTTTAGCTTGCATGTGATATTGGTGATATTATTAGCTAATCTCCCCACTCTATTATATTACTTTTTTTTTGAATGGGAATAAATATGTATTTCTTCCAGTCTGTTGTCCAGGTCATTGTTCTCCAGATTTCTTGGAAGAAGTTTATGAGCACATGCAAAGCAGCATCTGTTTGCTGAAATATATCAATTGATATTCCATCAATTCCTGGGGCCTTTTATTTTTGCCAATTCCTTCTGAGATGCTTGAACTTCCTCCTTTATCACCATTGCCTCTTGATTATATGTTGTTTCATGAAATTCTTCTGTGTCAGCCAATATATTTGGTGCAATGATTCTGTGTACTCCTTCCATCTTGTTTTTAATGTTCACATATACTATCTTAATTATTATATGAGCATTCAGCCAGAATGAGCTATTAAAGGAGGTGCATTAAGCACCTATTAAAGGAGGTGTTAAGTCGAAGTCATTTCTTAGAACAAGTTACCTGTGGTAAAATAATTACCTGTGTCATAAATATTTTGGCAGAATTTACTTGGAGTATGTATTTTTTACAAAGTTATAGAATATTTACTCCTCAGTGCATTACTAAAAAACATTTAATGTAAAATAGAATTCATTTATTTTTTCTTTTAAACTTTAAAGATAAAAGGATCATAGACATTGTTTTTATTTTCTGTTTCTCCTTTTAGGATGCCTCCATTGCACATAGATTCCACATTATGAGAGAAAAACACCCAGAGAAGTTCAACAGTAGGTAAGGTACTAAACAATGCCGTTACCATTATTATTAGTGGGATGTGTAATATTATTAAAAAATGAGTTATCTCTTCCCGTATGATTTGTAGCCTCTGAAAACCCAATGGAAGATTAGCCTTGAGTCAGTCCTGGCTTGATGAAACATAATAACAACAAACATGTGGTATAGAGCATTTTATTTTACAAGTAACTGGATGAGGTTTGATATGCATACATGAGTTAATAAGAGTAGGTGAATATAATTATTTGTCTTAAATTGTTATAGGGCAGTAAAATAAGTGTCATCTGCTCTCTTATGTGCTGAAAATAAAGATATCAATTACAAGATAAAAGTAGTATTTCATTAAGATTTACTAAAAAGTCTTTACACAATTTAGTATGTGTGGGATGATCACCCGTATTCTCTAGAAAAGTGATGGAGTTTTAATTATATGATGTTCAGAAGCATATATGGTATAAGTATCAGATACAGCTTCTGATCTTTGGAATATCAATTCTACATGAGACTCAACAGAAGGCAAAGTTAAACCAGAGAAATGTAAAAGCCAGCAATGAGTATTTTTAAAGATGTTTTCTTTAGAAAGAAACTGATTTTCAACAAAGACTTGTCTTTCCATTGTAGCAGTAGGCAAACTTTTATGTCTCCAAATATAGACAGGCACTTATACTGTCAGTTATTCAGCAATCAAGGGAAAGGGCAGAAATAAGGAAGCCATAACTCAATATTTTCTCTACTTGTGGAAAGAAATATACTTAGTCTTTGTTTCCTACCCCTAGGAAAATAGAGGAAAACAAGTGAATTATATCTTTCTTTAATTATATTTACTTATACTCTGGTTATTAAATAAAGTCACAAATTCATAATCAACATTTCTATAAACACATTAAGGTGACGTTATATTAATGTGAAAGCCTGAAGACTCTAGGGTCTCTGTGAATTTGACTAAATTCACATCTTGCAATGAGTACATCAGAATATTTAATAGATATCTACCTCTGGGAAGTCTTGTTTATTTCAATTTTGTCACTCTTTAATGCACTGACATATTTTAGTAAAACAGATATTTATTTCATTAGGATTACCTCAGGTTATGCCTTGTTTCTAATTTTATAAATAATGAATTACAACCTTATTTTTTGCTGCTTCTCCCATAATTTAGAAGTTTTACTTTTTTCATTTTTTCAAAATAATAATAAAAATTCATATATTAATAA